TGGAATCTTAACCCCAGGCCAGCCGGGACAGCCAGATCTTCAAAGCGGCGCGGAAGGATTGGAGGGTGGTGAGGGTCGGAATCAGGTTCGTTCCAGAGGGTTGGAGCAGCTACCGAGAAGGCTCTCCTCTGGGTAGTTGCCAGTTTGCACTGGCTAGTAGATGGAATTCGGAGGAGGCCTAATCGATGCGATCTAGTGGAGGTAATTGGCAGTAGGCGGTCTCTCAAATACCCAGGCCCACTACCATGAAGGGCTTTATAGGTGATAAGTAGCACCTTGAAGCGCACCCGGAGATCGACAGGCAGCCAGTGCAGCTCGCGGAGGATAGGTGTAACGTGGGTGAAGCGAGGTGCACCCACAATCGCTCGCGTGGCTGCATTCTGGACTAGCTGAAGTCGCCAAATGCTCTGAGGTGGTAATTGAACTCATTTTTTTAAATAATCATAATAGGCTTAGTAGATTGAAAAGTCTGGGATCGATTACTTGATGGCCTGTTGGCCTTTTGTCCTTGACAATAATTAGAAACAAAACAAATTTAAAAAATAACAATGTGAGGAAATCAGAATGAAAGCAAATATAATGGGCAGCTCAAATAACTAAATGCAAATGGAAGGAAGTTGTGTGATGGTGAAACATATGGTATGGATATTTTTTTCCTATTTACAATTAGATCCCCTTGATTAATGAACTATAAAGTATTTATTTCTTAATTGCATCTTTTGTTCAGAACACAATTAAGTTTCAAAAGTTACATTATACTTCCAGGTCAACTCACTGATACAGTGTAAATATGTTAGTTGTAAATTTCATCACCAGCAGTGGTAAAATCCTTCTTAAAAATAATTGTTAATATAAAACTTTTATGTAAACCTTTACATGTAAAAACTTTCAGAAATTTCTTGTTATTGCTTTTCAATTATTGGAAACCTTTGTACTGACAAGTTTGATAGCCCTGGATAAGTTTCCCTTCAATCCTTAGCAAAAGAAAGTTTTAACTACAAGTTTAAGAACTTAAAAAAATGGATAATAAATAGAAAAGAGGTGATTAAAATTTTGATTTTGGAAAAGTACAGACTAACGATCCAGGTAAATTTGAATTTATCTGGATTTAATTATAAAGAATCCTACCCATTAGAAAACTGTCTTAGTGTTAAATTTAAATATATAAAAGATGTTTAAAAAATGGACACTAGAGGGAACTAAAGATTACAATTAAAAAAGAACATATACACTGGACATACAATTACAGAATGGAGCAAAATATTCTAACATTGGACATATTGAAGAATATTTTTGAAAAATGGAAACAAAAGTTAGCATTAATAGTGTCAACAGAGACATATGTTTCTATGGAGAGACTGTGTCTAAAAGATGGAAAGAAAAGGAAGAGGAGCAAAGTTTACCTGACAAGACTGAGTTGTAACTGGATTTACAAATGATAGGCTACAAGATTGACATGGAAAAAGATGGACATACAACAGAAACTTGATGATATTTTAATAACTAAAAATGACATTCAAACAATAAATCAAGAAAGCAATTTGAATATTTTTCCTATATTATATTTGCAAAAGTGGTTTCTTAAAGTTTTGAAGAACTCATGCGAAGAAAGAGAAGACAAAGAACAATGAAAAAATCAAGTTCTATTACATTATTTGAATGGACTAAAGATTAAGATGATTAGAAGTAAAAAAAGCAATATTACATTAGTTTATTTGATGAAGATTAAAAGACACTTTATATATTTCTTTTCTTTTTCTTTACTCATATTGTTTTATATTTTTATTTTCCTTTTTCTGTACCTTCTATTCTTTTTTGTTATTTAGTTTGCATTAAATGTAATTAAAATTGTACTTAATATCTTTAATAAAATTACTATAAACATTTCTAACTATTTTTTTTTGAAATAATTTTAAAATTTTGAACATTTTTTAAAATATACTTTTTAAACCCAATGTTTAATTCTAGATGTGTCAAGTGCCTCCTATCAGTCCAAGCCAGAGGGTATCTTGCACTTATTCCTCTCTGTGTGAGAAATCTACATAAGGAATTGATTCAAAACTATGAAACTCAGCACTGTGTTACAAGCTTTTTTGCTCTAATTTTTGCTTTACATCATGTTTTGTTCTGAATGTAGATTAAGTGAAACAATCATCTGGATGAAGTTTAACAGCATACAAAATATTTATCATTAACCTGAGTTTTTCTAAGATATCCCATTTACCTATGTTGTCCTGTTCCAGAATATAAATATCTATATTGCAATAATTGACAGTCTTAAATCCCAAGACACAGAACTGGATTTGGGGTCTATAGTGAATCTCAAGGTCAGTTTGATAATAAAATGTCTGCAAGGAAATAAACAAGTTCAGAGAGCACCAAGCACCCAGCACCCTACAGTTCAAACCTGAACTACAAATATTCTTGTATTCTCGTATTAATGTTTTTTTCCGAACTTGGTAAATTTAAGTTCTGAAGACTTCAATTCCCACACAGTTGCCAAGTTTGAAAACTCTAACTCGCATTTTCAGAAAAGAAAAATGCAGAGGCAGTGAACAGACAGATTATGATTAATCTTGGTTTAGATTGTCCACATTAAAAGATTTCCGAATGAAATAATCCATGAGTTCTGGAGCCCAGTCTCGGAAAAGTGTAGGGATCTTTGTAAACATATATTTATAATAAATCTCCCGCTGACGCAGGATGCCCCCTTTAATGATTTCTAATGCACATTCTTCTTTTGGAGCAGGTGGAATAGGGTATATACCAGATACCGCTTTCATGGCAGATTCTAAGAATAGAAAAATGTTAGTTAGAAAGTATTCACTGCTGAGGAAATCATCTTGTACTGAATTGTTCTTACATCCCCCACCTCAATTTAATAAGACATTCTCAAATATATTCTACCTCGAGTAAACAGATAAGAAATTATAATTTGGTAATCCAACAAATACATCCCCTACCCCCACCCCCATGTGAGATTCCTTGTTTTTCCAAATAATATTTCATGAATTTTGTGGATTATGTCAGGTGGGTTCCAGATTCTTTTACTGCCAGTTTGCTCAGGGATGCACTTGATGCATGCTATGTGTGCATGCACAGTATTAAAAAAATTGCTTCTGCGCAGAAGGAAAAAACAAGATGGCGCCGCCTATGGTGCCGCCAATAAAACTAGTTTGGATGCGTGAGTGGCCAAGTTACTACCTTCTCAGCTGAACTGGTCTGAACTGGTAGAAACCCAGCTCCGGGTTATGTCTAATGTATCCTTCCACTTCCTGCAAAACAAGCCCAAGCAACAGCAGTTCTATGAAGAGTTGTGCAAATGTTATCTAAGTATTGGACTTTCAAAGTTAAGAACAGGATTTCTAGAGTGCTAGAAATGATGGAAGGAGAAAAACACATGTTTATTTTCTGCTAGATAATTATCAATTCAAATTTGCATGCATCTGTGTGAAAGAATAAAAAGTTAATTGTGCATTAGTAATGATTTCACACTATATATGTTGCATGCAGTAAAATGTAAAATGCAATGAATTATATTGGTCCATTTTCAATGATGTTTAGTCACCAAAATATTTCACAATAGAAATATGTCATGCTTATAATCAAGGTTGAAAACATGATCTTATAAATTGTCCTCCCACTCCTCAGGATTCACTCACTGAACTGATTTAAACATTGTGTTTAGGGCTCTACAGTGTGATTAGTCCAGTAATTGCCATCCTTGATAATGCCCAATATGCTAAAGATTCATTATTTGGAAACCTAAGGGAGGGAATTTTCAATTCTAATATTTCTTTTATGAAATTCCCAGCCTGTTCACTATGATTGATAGCAAGTTATGTGAGCTCTAAGCACTTGTCAAAGTTACATGTCATTTTTTGTACAATATCCACGTAGTATATTTCTAGGTTTTAATTATATAATCTTGTATACTTTGTTAATATGTGTTGTTAGATTCTTAGGATTATTTTTTTTAATAAACAGACAAGGAAGGGAGGGAGGGAGATAAGATGTAAATTTCGGTAGCAATTACTAAAACAGATACAGGCACCTCAACTTCTGACCACAATTGAGCCCAAAATTTATTTGCTAAGCAAGTCAGTTGTTAAGTAAATTTGCCTGATTATAATACCTTTCTTGCCACAATTGTTAAGCAAATCACTGCAGTTTTTAAGGTTTTTAACTGAGTCTGGCTTCCCCATTGACTTTTGATCCCCGCAAAAGGGGATCACACGATCCCAGGATACTGTAACTGTCATAAATATGAGTCAGTTGCCAATTTTGTCAGTTGAATTTTGATTATATGACCATGGATATGCTACAACGTCCGTAAGTGTGGAAATGGTCATAAGTCACTTTTTTCACTGTTGTTGTAATTTTGAACAGTCACTAGATGAACGAAGTCAAGAGGTTTGACTGTACATACACAACAGTTACAGTATGTAAATCTATAAATCATTTAAGAGGCTCATTTATAAAAGATGTATCTAAGGGAGAAAAGTTTAGGAATGCATCCATATAAACATGCCTAGAAAGTTATGAATTATAAATGAATGTAATTTTTGTTAATGTTAAAAAAATGTTGGAAGAGCCAAATGGGCTGAAATAATCACTACTGCAGATACCTCTATGGATTTATATATTATGTATTGTTAAATATTGGATTTATACTGTATATTCTTCAATTCAACATAACTGAAAGTCTCAGACTACAGAAAAACTAGATTCTGATATCCAGAAAATGCAAAGGAAGATGTATTATATTTGGCTGATAAAGCTAACTGTTTTTGCTAAAATGATTCTTCATCATTAAAATGAAAGCTTACATGTTCTTTTCTTAATCAGTTGACAGACCTTATTTATGAGGCCTTCCAAGATATGATATACTTTTGTAATGGGACTAATCCTTATTTGGGAGCTAAGGGAAAATTTTTAAAAAATGAACTTATATTTAATGACTTTATAAGCTATGATGATTTGCCAATGTTATGCTCTTCATGATGCCTAGGGTACTGGGAGTTCTAGTGTCAACAGGTTTATAGGGAGTCAGTTAGTACTTTAAGATTAATTCATAATGATTTTGAATTCTAAGAAATGTTATCGTCTAAGCTTGGCCAGCATCAGCCTGACAAGTCCAGAACCTAAAAAAAATCAGATGTGGAAATGAGAATTGTACCTGTGTTGATGAGTCCAAGGATGCAGAGTGTGATGGAAACATTGATGTTCTGCATAACAAATTCTTGCCTCAAAGAGTTGAAAAATCCCTCTAGTGCAAACTTTGTTGAAGAATAAGGAACAGTCCATGGGAAGCCAATTTTGCCTAGAAATCCCACAATTAGAATCATACATTTAATTTACACTATGCCATGAAGAATAACATTAGTTATGTATGAGATACATTTTTTTCCTCACTGATACTATTTATGAACTCAATATTTATCAACTGCTTCCAAAAACTCTAATTGCAGCCTGAACTATCAAAAGAATGAATTTTGGCTCTGGCAGTGGGCCTCCCATATACATCAGCACCATCATTAACTCTGCTATGGCCTTCAAGCCTTATCCACACAATAAATTAAATGCAGGCCTTGGCCATCCAAATGTTACCCAGCTTATTTGTCATGAAAGCAACTCCTCCTAAATTGTGAGAAGTGGCCATTATTAAAACATTTCAGCACACAGAGAGGACCTTTCTTCTAAATAAATATTGGTTGATTGTTTTCGTTCTCGTTTTCCTCATAGTTTCAAGCTTCCAAAAATATTTTTAAATGACTGTATTTGATCGTAAATGCTTCATGATGAGATTATATAAAAAGCATATACCCATTATAATAAATATGTCAATATTTTAAAATAGAATATAACATAAACAAGAATTTTCCAGAAGTTTTTTTTTTATGTAGAGCTTTGTAATTTATCTGGCATGTTTGAAGCACAAAAACCCTGCTGGGCTCTTAGGAGCCAAAAACTTAAATGTCTTTATTGGTTGGGAGTCAATAATACTGAACTGTCACAAGATGGCATAGTTCTTTAGAATATAGTAAAATAAAGGATATTTTACTTAGCAATAGTGACAATTGACACAAAGACAGTGGATGCCTTTATGATTGCTACTATATTTTGTGAACTTATTTACAACTGGTATTTAGAAAAGAAATATACACATCACAATCCTGGTATTTATTCCATGCCAGGTTTCCTGCTAAGTCTCCTCCCAGAGACTATCACTTCTAGTTCTGCTTTCCTCCACCTTTCATTTTGCCTCTCCTTACCCTCATTTTTAGGCTTATGGAAAGGAAATGCAAAGAGATCGGTGGGCTGGATTTACTGTATTGTGCTCAGCATGGATTGACTTTCTCCTGGATCTGCTGTGCTGATCCTGAACACATGAACATTTACTGCTTCTCTGTTTGGGAACTTCTCTCAGGGTCTTCTTCTCAGTTCTTTTTCTTTCTTTCCTTTTCTATCTTTCTTCATTCTTTAATCAGACTAGCAGCACATTCCCCAGATGGTGTCTTTCCCCAGACCGCTACTTCCCAGCTCCTGTATACAAGCTTGGATTAATGAAACAGCTGTCTCTACATCTTCCCACAACAGCCTTGGCTAGCAACCTTGTGATAGCTACCATTCTAACCCAGAATTGAATTCATTTGCTGATTCACACCAGTCATGCTAGGCCATTAAAATTTTGAATATCATTTAGCAACTGGATATTAGTCAAGGATAACCTGTATTTTTAAACATGTAGATATTAGCACATATTAACATTACATTCAATTGTTTCTTGTGAATGGGAAAGAATATATGGATTTTTCTTTTTAAAAAATTGAGGAGTGAATAATTTGAGTGAGAATTGCTCAGCTTATTGTCATTTTGCACCCAGTACAAAGAACAAATCTTTAAAATGAAATTTCAACATAAATTCTATTCAAAATAAACAGGAAATTCATCCTTCTATACTGGGATAAATAAAAAGGTAATTTATTGCTTTTTTCTTCCTAAAACTCACTTTGGATTCCTTATCCTAGCAATGCCCCAAACTCATATGTGACACAGCCAACTTTCCTTGAGACATTATTTTCTTAAATATATTGAACTGAGATGCAAAGAAAACATTTCCTTTCCATTTCTGACTTTTATTTCTTTAGGCAACTTAGTAACAAACTCTGAAGAACACCAGACACTTGAGTATGGATCTGCCAACAGAATATATCTAACATATTATAAAAAATAATATATGCCAGAATCTTTTTTGTGAAAAAAAATCTAACCTTTATTATGGTTCAAGAACAAGCACCTGTAGAAGCTTCAGAAATCATTTCTTCCTCTAATATGAAATATCTCAACTGCAAAAATGCATTAAAATTGTGATTTGATCACCCCATAGAATAATTATGCATATTAGAAAAGGAAGGTGGGATACATATAAACTGTAGTCATTTAAGCTGGCAGACATATGAGTATAACAGTCAAATCATAAATAATTCTAATAACAGGAAAATCAATAACATTTGTAATAGCTTTAAGATTCTGAGATCGTTGTACTCATGAATTAATGCTCACCTGCCAAAGATGAAACAACTACTATGCTTCCTCCACTGCTCTTAAGCATGGGAAGAGCTGAAACTGACATCGTTGCATAGCTTAGGAAATTGATGTTCAGAAGTTTTTGCACATGTTCAATGTCCCTATTGAAATAATGGAAGTAGGACTTGCCAATATGATTCAGAATCAGCATATCTAGACCTCCTGTAAAGGAAAGATAAAATATCTGGTTATACTAGGTTTGCAGATAAAGGCAAAATATCATTGTGATCAAATATTTTGGCTGCAGTATTGGGCAACTACATAGTTTGATCTGGTCTTTACTTTATATTAGAAGATTTCAGGACAAAGTCCCAGTTAATTCCTCATACAATTCTGCAATATTACTTATTTGGTAATCCTAAATTATTGTGATATTTATTTATAAAGCAGTTCTTGAGCATATGCTATACAAAAAAACAAAGAGATAGTGAACATTCCTTAAAACAGGGGTCCTTAACCTCCAGTCCATGGATCAGAATTAGTCCATGGCATGCCAGCATCTGGGCCACACAAACAAGTGAAGCCCCTTTCATGGGATGTAGGCAGCATGCAAAACCATGCCCCCTCAGTCTGAGGAAAAAACTTTCTGCATGGAACCTGCAGAAAGGTTCCCAACAGCTTGGTGGCCCTGTCATAAATAATATATGAATCACACAAATACATAGTTGAGAGGTCCTATTAGAATGGAAATAAACCAATACATGAATGGTTCATCTAACAACACTTGAAACTCACCTGAGGGTCACCAGGGAAAATAAAATATTCAAGTAGTAGAGGGGAAAGCAAAACATTTTCCCTCTAGGAAGCTGTGAAGGATTAGGGCTGAGAACAAATTTGGAGGATTGTTTTCTCAGATTTAGTATGAAAAAGAACTTATCAATATTTATACAAGTTTCCTTATGACATAGTGGGAATTCCAGTATAACATTAATAGAATTTAGTCCATACATTTAGTCCATGGGAGCGTAGGAAAGCAGTTGCAGATGTTGGATTTATTTATTTTCTATTTCTGACAACGTAATGATCTCCAAGATTGTTATTGCACTAAATCTAGCTTCTCTACTCTATCTTAGCGTAATGATAGTGTACTAGAATTCAACAATGCTCAAGATGAGATGTTGATTTATGAACTTTGTATCATTGAAAAAGGGAAAGTTGTGATTGGGGGCATAGACAAGGAAAATAAATTAACTTGAGATTGCTTCTAGCTAGGAAGATCCATGGTTCAGGTGAGTCTGTCAGCCAAAGCAGAAGTTACCAAATCACAAAAGCTTCTATGAAATTAATTGTACATTTTAGCAACTGAGGGCATTCAGGTTAATTTAATTCTAGAAAGATTGAAGGTCTTGTTTCAAGCTTTACTGAGAAACAAAAGCAAATGTATGTTATATTTTAATATAATAACTAAAATAAAATGTAAATTTAACAAACCTAGCAAACTAAAAAGCAAAAACCTGCCCTAGTGGTATTAATTTTTAAGAAAAAATATTCCATGCTTATCTCTTAAATATATTTCCCTCCAGAAGATCCAAAGCCTCAAGAAATGACATGATCTATAATAAAGGGTTGGGATCAATAAAAGTCTGGTGATAATTGGTCAATTATTTTATTTCCCATTCACATAGTAAGGTGTACTGTTGACAATAGTTTTAAAATTAGTTAAGGGTTAAAATGCTAAAAGAAATGGCAACTTAAGCATGCATGCTATAAATAAATATGTGTAAATTTTTACTCCTGGGGTGGGCAAAGTAAGATATTTTAGGGAAATAACGCTTCCCACCATTTCTCTTATTATATTAAAATCTGATATTCAAATCCATTTAAGGGCAGATAAAGGGTAGTACTTGTTAACACACATCATTATTATTTTTTCTTTTTATGACCCTGTAATCGCTTAATTCAAGGTAGAGTTGGGTGGCTGATTGGGGCTGAATATATATTGGCTGTATGCCCTTCCTGACACCTACACAGAGTTTGCAGCTGATATTTTCTCTTTGCACCCTGTGAGAGAAACATCTGCCTCTAACTCTCAACCTTCTGAGTGGGAAGCAAGTGTCTTCACCACTAGGCCACCTCACTGCTCTACTAACACACATTATTAACTTATAGAATTCACAAGACACATAGCTGCATTGTTCCAAGTGCTTGAGAAGAATTTTGCCAGTCTACTGATACCTTTAGATGTTGAGAAGATGAGAAAGAGAAGAGAAAGATTCTACCAACTTTGAAAGAAAGATGCTGTCCTGCCTCTGAGATAGTGGTAGAAAGAGAACAGGAGTACACACACATCCCTTCCCAAGTCCATGGACCACAAAGAATTAAGAGCAGAAGAACTTAAGCATGTGTTTGTGATAAAAAGTGCAGAGATGCAATCTAGAAACAACAGTGCTGTTATGTAGTTATACAACATGCTGGGCAGTGTAGCTTTAAACTTGAAATAAGGAAGTATTGAACAAGCCATGAAAGGGGGTTGGGAGTTGCTGAAAAGATTACACAATCCTGAAAAAGAGAAAAGTGTGAGAAGGAAACTCAGAATATATCTGGGGTTTTTTTGGGGGGTGGGGGGTGGAACAGAGAAACAGGCTTTCAAGATTCTGTTACTCTACTTTAATACAATAAAGAACATCGGGGAATCCTGGCTATGCCAGCTTCTTCACCTGACCCACCTTAAATTGCTGCCATCAGTTTTGAAAGCCTGTCCAAATTTATCTCACCCTTATGGTCATCATAAAAAAGATTTTATTTTACAATTTGGGATAGACTTAACTTCATCTGTTAATTGGACATATACCTATGTCTTGGATTTGATCGTGTCATTTCCTATTTCTAGCTAGCGTACTGATGCTTACTTAGCTGGAATATACTAGGGTTTTGGAGTTGGAGGGAGCACTGAAAAGACAAAGGCAAGGAGGATAGCTCATTCAATAGTTATTAATCATGATGAACCACTAAATATAAATTACAGAAGGTGACTGTCTTCACATTCTAATCCCTAGCTCTGGGCTTCTGGAAGCCTCTAATTAGTTAGACATAGGATACTGGAACCAACGCATGTTCTAATAAGGTCAATATACCCCATAATTCCTCTGCTTTCTTCACCACTGCTTGAGCAAAGTTCATATCTTCCATACTGCCATTAATGTACCTGGCAGATGCTGCACCCAACTCTAAACAATGAGCAACCACCTAATAAAGCAAACAGAAAAGTAAAATTAGTAGATATTCCTCTTTAAAACTCTTTGCACTCAAATTTATTAAATCAAATACCAGTATCTGCAAAGAAGCAACTGAACAATCCAATTTATGAGAATATTTTAAGAGCACATTTTAAATGTACTTATTGGATCAACATTATCAGTGGGGAATTTCCACTGGAAAAACCACCTCATTAACAATTTCAGCTGATAGCATTTTTAGCTTTTTGATGTACAATACCATTCTCCCACCAAAAAAACATTTTAAATATTGCATTTGCAGCACTTCTTTTGGTAGTCATGCTAGATTTATAATTCTAAAAAAGTCATTTGAAACCATGGAACGTTACTCCAGTAACCATATTCTGTAAATATCCGACATATTTTCCCTTAAATTCAGGTACAATAAAAAATAAACTAGTTATATGTAATATTGAATTGGTGATGTATTGATCTTTGTTACAAAGAGGTTGGTATTCCAAAATAAATTGTTATTGGCTAAATATACTAAAGATTTGAACTTAGTGACTAATTTCAAAGTCTCACCTGGAAATGTTCCACTTTTCATTGACACAGGTTTCTTAGAAAGCCCAGCAAAACCTGTGCATTTTCTGATAGACATGGAGGATTGGATAGATTTTATCTGAAAGTCTGCTTGCATTGCTTTAACTAAAGGCAATAGTCAACAGTGAGTTGAAGAAAAATATTTTTTCTTTAGATGTTCAGATTCTCTCTCTCTCTCTTTCTTTTGTCTCTTTGTCTCAGTCTCTCTATGTCTCTGTGTCTATCTACTGAAATCAGCAGTGATCATGCAAGGGAGAGACAATATGTTTTCCATTAAACAATCTCCTCCTCCTACTTCTGTCTTTACTATAACTTTATTAAGACTCATATAACTTTGCCAGAAATTCTTTATTTCTCAGTGCTTTTACTTTCACTCACCCTATTGAGTCATGTTTTTAAAATCTCAGCCTTCCCCAAGTTCATGTACTCTCAATGGATTGACTGGGAATTATGAAATTTCAAATACAACAGATTGGATGGAGGGGAGAGAGAGATCTCCATCCAATGTGTTGGATTTGAACTTCTATAATTCCCAGTCAATCCATTGAGAGTACATGAACTTGGGGAAGGCTGAGATTTTAAAAACATGACTCAATAGGGTGGGTGAAAGTAAAAGCACTGAGAAATAAAGAATTTCTGGCAAAGTTATATGAGTCTTAATAAAGTTATAGTATGTATGTGTGTGTGTGTGTGTGTGTGTGTG